CTGTGTTTCTCCCTTGACCACTGCTGGGTCCTCATCGCCAGAGTTAAGTCTTGAAACCCCTGACTCCACTTTTTTCTCCTTTTCAAAAATTGTTCCAGCTACTCCAGGTCCTTTGCCTCTTTTTTTTTTTTTAGACAGAGTCTTGCTCTGTCACCTGGGTGAGTGCCGTGGCGTCAGCCTAGCTCACAGCAACCTCAAACTCCCGGGCTCAAGCAACCCTCCTGCCTCAGCCTCCTGAGTAGCTGGGGCTACAGGTGCACCCACCACACCCTGCTACTTTTTCTATTTTTAGTAGAGACGAGGTTTCGCTCTTGCTCAGGCTGGTCTCGAACTCCGGACCTTGAGCGATCCTCCCGCCTCGGCGTCCCAGAGTGCTGGGATTACAGGTGTGTCCTTTGCCTTTTCATGTGAATTTTACAGTAAGATTATGTATTCTGCAAAAAACCTTATCGGGATTTGATAGGATTGTGTCAAATCTAAAGATTAGTTTTAGGGGAACTATGTGGCAGCGCCTGTAGGAAGCCACGTAACAGCCGGGGAGCACATCACGAGGACAGGCCTGCAGCCACCACACTGTGCCAGACAGACGCGGCCCCTGCAGAGGCACCACGAAGAAGGTGGGGAAGAGAGGCCAGAATATCCAGGTGTCAGGAAGCAAGTGGTCGCCACCAGAGGCAAGGACACCAAGGACTGAGAAGAGCCCCTTGGACGTGGCGATGCAGAGGGGCTCCCTGGAGACCTGACGAGAGACACGGGGGTGAGGGGGGCTGTGGACAGGCCGAGGGCAGCTCCCAGTGAGGGGAGCAGGCAGCTGCGGTGGGGGCAGCAGTGGCTGCTGCTGTGTAGGGAGGGAGAGGGGGAAGGGCTCAGTCTCTGAAGGCACCTGCACGGGGAAGGCTGGGCACATGCGCAGCCCGGGCCGGGACCAGCAGAGGACCGCGTCAGGGCGGCCTCCACACTGGGGCATGAGGTGAAAGCCCCCAGGCCCCCGAGGAGCTGCCCCCTCCCTGTTGTGTCCAGCCCTGTGGGGGCAGCTCCTCTCCACCAGCAACAGCCCTGGCTGGTCTTTCTGAGCGGGGTGGGGTCTGGTTACAAAATTAATAAATATTCACTATTTGGGAAATACTAAAACCACAAAACAAAACAATTAAAAGCCCAGCACAATCCCATCCGCCAGATACAACCAGCGTTTGCTGTGCTGCACACTCTTCAAGCCTGTCGGCAGCACACGCATCTGGGGAGGCTCTAGGCACCAAATGCACACTGGTCCAAAGCCAGTCCTTCCCCTCCTCTCCAGGGACTCCTGCCACAGCCCATCCTCTCCAGTGACATCATAAACACCACGACGACACGCCCACCCTGCAGATGTGCTTCCTCCAGGCCGCATTATCCCGGAACTGGGATTCTGAGGCTAAGGGAGAGGCTGCGGGTACGGCTAGTGATACCTCGGCCACGCTGCCTTCAAGAGCTTGACCTTTTCTACTCTCAACTGCCCACGACGCTCCTCTGATAGTTCAAAACAGCGGTTTGCAAACTCTCTGCCAGCAGCAGCCCCCCTCTTCTCCAGTGAAATCTTACACAAAACCCCCACAGGAAGGCAGACGAGAAGCCTGCAGCCCTGGCCACCTGGCCCCACTCTGCTGGGCTTGCCCCTGGGATGGTGTCCACGGTGCACGGTCTCCCCAGCCTGGCCAGACCCTGAGGGTGGTGCCAATCTCACGAAAGTCCCCAGAAACTTGCTGACTGATAGCTCCAAAGTCTACTTTGTAAACAACACCAAGGACCCAGGACCCTAGGTGGTTATCTGGTGACCGGGAGAGGTCAGGCCCCTGGCTCAGCTGCTCGGCAGCAGCTGAGGGGACGGAGGAGCCAGGCAGGCCCTGTGGTCCCCCTGAGCCTCGTGCACGTCCACACATGGGGGCACATGCCTAGCGCAGAGACTGTTCCGAAGATCACAAGACACTCAAGTGCTCAGAACAAACGACGCACTCAATAAACACGCCTGCCTTTCCTTCAACTAACAGTCACCTGGGTCTTAAGAAACAGCAGAAAAATAAGACCACGTTCTGCTGTCTACCCCACAGCAAGGGGGACTGGTAAACGCTGACACTCACAGACGGCACCTGGAGGTTTAGACACACCGGCAAAACCGAACTCTGAGCAAACACTTCTAGGTCTTGGGAGAAACACTAGGAGGAGTTCCTAATAAGTCCAATTTAACGAATGCACATCCAGAATAAAAACACTGTTGTTTACAAATAAAAGATGTTTAACAGGCAAAGTCTACTCAGAACATAAAAACTGCCTCTTGTTCTACCTCAGAGCAGAACACTTACCTTCGTAAGGGGTCATCTCAGGGCCTCGGACGACATAGTGCCTAAGGGAGAAAAAACAGTTACCTGGGCTTTGGCAACGGCAGGGTGGCAGGATCTCCAAAATCTACGTTTGCAGGACCTGCCCACACCACACTCACAAACATCCAGTCGGGAAACAACCGGAGGATGAGTGTCAGACAGCAGCGCAGCCAACAGCCCGTCCCTCCAGCCCACCTGTTGGCCTGTCTTGCTGCCGTCTTTTCTAAAGCTTCCGTAAGGGACTTTCGTTTCCACAATACAACAGGCAAGAATTCTCTCTAATCACTAAGCTGAAGTTTCAAACAAATTTTAATTTCATAACACAGGATTAAGATGTACTTGGAAATTTATTCCATAAAAATGTACCCTTTGTATTTCTTATGTCACATATGTAGGCAAAGCAGGGCACAGCTAGTGACGCTCTGTCCCCCACCCCGTGCTGACGTTCCTGGAGAAACCAGAAACGACCTCTGAGCGGCTGTGCTGGAGGAAGAAGAGGGACAGCGGTGATCGTCCCCAGAGCTCAACCTCAGACTGGAAGCAGCAACAAACGGATGCCACACCCCACACACAAGTAAATAAGGGTTTAGCTACATGAGCTATACACATTCTCAAAACAGAAGAGCACAGGGAAGAAAGAAAAACCGATCAGAAATGCCAGAACCCAGACACAACTGCTAGCACTGAAGCGATCGTCTCAAACACAAAAGCCCCTCGCCACCAAGACACATAAGCACATCATTTTAATATTAATGCATCACATGACACACGCTATCTACTGGCTGACACGTCTTACTTATAAAATACTGTGATCGCATGTCAACGGACCCAAACTGAGTGGCTTAGAGTTAAGTACACTACACACCCAGAAACATGGCCTTAATTTGTCATTGCTCTCAAATTCTGTGCCCAATCTGAGAAGACTGGGAAAAGACAATGAAGAAACCTTCTTCCTGAGACAGAGCCCAGCAGCCCTGGGACAGCAGAGAGAAGAGGGGACCTGCAGGGCTTAGAGGACAGGACCTGCATGGCAGCCCTCGGCTCATCCAAGCCCTTTTCTGGAAACGCCCTTCTCCTCTCTCAGCTGAGGGAAAGAGTGCTCCGGGCCGGCCTGAGCTGGTACCCTGGTAAGAGGAGTTCGCTGCTAAGTGCTCACACTGTGGAAATCCACTTCCTTCTGGAATCTGGAACTTTGGTAGGTGCCAGGCAGAAGGAGCCAACCGGCCCCCCCTAAAATCCCTGGCACTGAATCTGATGAGCCTCCCTGGTGATAGCACATCAAACGGGTCGCCCGAGCTCACTACTGGGGAACTAAGTGTATCCAGAGAATTCTGGATGCTCCTGTGTGGTTTCCCACAGGAAATCTTATGTCTCTTCCCTTTCCTGACTTTGCTGTCCTGTTAACAGTGAGGACTCCCTGTGAATCACTGAACCTGGGGGTGGTCTTGGAGACCCCCAACCCACAGAGTCACAGGTGGGGAGGGGCTCCCTGGACAGTGAGATATTCCCACAATTCAGGGAAGAAAGACGTAAGCTGCCCATGGAACCTGCCAGGGCTAGGCCTCCTCTGAAGGCTGGGGAAGATGACCCTGCCCAACCTGAAGAATACCTTTTAACTCAGTCAAATCTCTATTCTCTGGATTTAAAAAAATTTCAAGTATTTTTTTTTTTTTTTTGAGACAGAGTCTCACTCTTTTGCCCGGGCTAGAGTGAGTGCCGTGGCGTCAGCCTAGCTCACAGCAACCTCAAACTCCTGGGCTCAAGCGATCCTCCTGCCTCAGCCTCCCGGTAGCTGGGACTACAGGCACGCGCCACCATGCCCGGCTAATTTTTTCTATATATTTTTAGTTGTCCAATTAATTTCTTTCTATTTTTAGTAGAGATGGGGTCTCGCTCTTGCTCAGGGTGGTGTCGAACTCCTGAGCTCAAACAATCTGCCCGCCTCGGCCTCCCAGAGTGCTAGGATTACAGGCGTGAGCCACTGCGCCCGGCCAATTTCAAGTATTTTTTAAAGATCAAAACATAAAACATCCTTCGAACAAAGAGAAAATGCTTTTTTAATACCTCAGGCTTACACTTTATTTCTTACAAAATCACTAGAAAGCCAGGTAATGGCAGCATTTCCACAGAGCTGTGCTTTGGCGAAAGAGCTACCATGAAACGAACGCTTACGAGACACTGGTCCTCTCACTGTCAGCCCAAGGCTCAGGGGCACCCGGCCTGGGCCAGCGCCAGGGGCTGGGGTGTCCGGACCCTGGTCCCATCACAAATGCTCTGAGGCAAGGCAGGCTACCTGCCAGCATCCAGAGCAAAGAGTAGCGGGGGAAAGTCTAGAAATGCGGTTTTTCTCTAAGTACCCAACCCACAGGGTGTACATGATCAACAGCTGTGAGCCCTGCACACCCCAAATCCTCCCGAGGACCCCTCAGGGGGGATTCTCTTTCTGGCCCTAGCCTAAGTCTAACAGGACTCTGTGGAGTCCCTGGCATGCCGTCCATTGGCAAGACCAGAGTGTCCGCGAGCTTCTCAGTGTCTACTCGCACACGAGGAGGTGCCAGGACTGCCCCCCGATGCCAGCACCAAGAGCAGTGGGCTCGCCCAGCCGGGCCAAGAGAGGGGTGAACGGCCATGCGAGCCTTACCATTCAAGAATATTCGAAGGGAGTGGCTCAGCACAGATGTAAGGCACTGGGTCTTTCTTAATTCGAAGGTAGTCCTGCTTCAGTCTCTGCGTTGCTGTTGTTGGAGCTCTCTTATTGCTGTTGTTGCTCATCTATTAAAAACAAATATTTACATTTACAGAGAACAAGAAACATGGGACCACAGCTCTTCTCACCCCAAGACAGCTTCAGCAGCCACACTCCTCCACTCTCATTTCTGCAGCCTGTAGTTCATCCAGGCCCCAGCCCTAATGTGCACCTCTCATGCCAGGCGCCCAGAGTCACAGCCCACAGGTCACCCTGACCTGCCACCCACCCGGATGCCCGCAGGTGCTCAGGATCCTTTCCCATCTGTCCTGCCACCACCTTCATTCCTGCCAAGTATGGCACAGATGCAAGACAAAGAGAACCGCAAAGCCCCACTCTCATCCTCAAAGAATCTAAATGGGGACAAGAACCAAAAAAGGGCCACGGGCAGGTGTGCTGAAGCCAGCCTGGATCAGTCCCCGAGAGCAGCCATGCACACTTTCTAAATCTGAGCTCAGTGGGACCTCATGGATGGAGTATTCACACCACAGAAACTGGCAAGCACCAGAGACCAGCTCCACCTGCCCCCACCCCAAAGTCTGCCGGCCGCCATTTACCACTGGTCACCAGCAAAGGGCTGGAGTGGGGGAGGCTCTGGAGAGACCCCGAGGCACTGGCTGGGCAGAGGAGAAGCCATGCTTTCCAGACAGAGCCTCAGAGAGTGCAGGGTACCTGGGAACAGCACAGGTCACTGTGTCAGGAGCCCAAGCACAGTGAGGGCTGGGAGGTGACTGGCCAGGAAGGCAAGCCCAGGGCAGTGCCCAGAAGGGCTTTAGGTCCAAGCCTTGAGGAAGGTCGCATCTTCTGTTAGAAAAGTCACAGCACTGAAGGCTGCACACAGGGAATGAGGAGGTGCCACCAATCAAGAAAAAAGACTGGGTCAGGGACCTGAGGACATGGGATGGGGACACTGAGCTCCCCACTGTTAGACATTAAAATAGCTCCAACTTGATCTCTTGTATACTGGAGTTTCTCATAACTTAAGATGGAAAGGCAAAAAGTTCTGCAGCTAAAAATAAAGTGTGAAACCACTGGTCCACAATATAGTAATGAGGACGTGGGGATGTGCAGGACGGAGCACAGAGGAAGGAGCAAAAGATGCTGCCTAGGCTGGACGTGGGCAGTGGGGCAACATCACCCCCAGGCCCCTGCAGACTCCTCCTCCCAACGACACTCTGCCCCTCAGGCTCCCCAACCTGTCCCACGCAGTGCTCTCTGGCCAAAAGCTTTACTGGCGGTCCTGGACATCGGTGGCCATCAGCTATGGCCAGCGTCCTCCATCTGACCTCCCAGTCTTCAGAAACCTGAAGTCAAGCCCACCCAGCCTTGGGGTTCCCTGTGGACAGCTGCATGCTCACTGGGGAGGTCTCCATACTCTCAGCCCCTGTGCCTGGCTTACTCCTCAGAGCGCCATCACCAGAGGGTCTAGCGCCCGCCTCCCCGACCAGGGCTTGGTGTGCTCACTCGTACCCCGAGGGGCTGAGCCAGGGCACCTGCGGCGGCCCTCCCACGTGCTGTGCCGACCTTGCTCCTTGTTCTGGTGCCCCTGACCCTGGCAAGGCTTATTCACCTCCTTCCCACTCCTGTCCCACTCGCCTTTAGGCAGGATCTCATTACTTTTCCTACCAACCACCACAGCAGCCTCCCGTGTCTCCCAGTTGGTCCAGGCCTCTCTGCTTCTAGTCCTTTCCCGTCTCAGATCCTCTTGTACACGTAAGTCAGCACAAAATTCTGATCATCCACTCCTCCAGTGGCCCTTCAGGATCCCCATCCACACCTCCTGTCACCCGACCCCGTGACAAAGCGGCTCTCCTAGCTCCCAACTCCCAAGACCTCTGACACAGCCTGAGCTCCAAGCCCCTGACTAACCCACCCCTGCTTCTCGTGGCTGCTTCCCAGCCCGGTCTACAGGTGGGAGACTCACCGAGGCCCTTCCTAGCCTTGCTTGAGGGCCACCCCCTTCAGAAGCCTCCCTGACTTCCCTAGTCCAATGCCTCCCACTCAGTCCTTCATGTGACCCAACACACTAAGCAGGGGCCTTTCGGGCCTAGCAGAGGTAAGGGTGGGCTCCTCTGCCTGGCCCTGCCGCAAGTGCCCCCACCAAGGGCAGGGCTGCAGTCCTGGAAAGGCAGTGCTTCCACGCAGCACTGTCACTAAGCTCCTGGCTCGAAAAGCCACATGGGCCAGGGAGCTCACCTGAGGCCAACACCTAGCAATACAGCAACAACCCACAAGCAGAACCACTAAGCAGGACTTGTTCTTTCTTTTAAATGTTCTCCCTCAAGTTAACACTCCACCACATGCAAAATAACTCTCTGGCTAACTCGAATACAACTGTATTTGGACTCAGGTAAGTGGCCAGATCGGATGCTTCATCAGTTAGTGGACAGGCACAGGAAAGTGAAATAGGTCCTGCCTGGCCAGTCGCCAGCAAACTTCTGTCCCATCCTTGCTCTGAGAGGCATGATCTTTAAAATCATATTTATGATCCAACCACTCAGTTTCCTCAACTATGTCTCCTTTGCTTCACTCAGAACAGTGGTCTCACGTCCCCTCCTGGAGGTTTCAGGGGACTGTTTCTCCGAATTTTTCCCATCCGAACATGACAGCAGGAAAGACAGAGAAAACAAAAAACCACAAAGGAATCAAAACGTGAAAACAGAGTATGAAGTGCATGTGCCTCAGGGTTCCTTCAAATAAGTCCTGACAGACACAGGACACAGGTGCATCACACCGAGGGGGGGTGGACAGTTAAAAAAAAAGCATAAAGACTGCTGACACATGGAAACTGCAGGAAAACAACCTCGGTCACCACCTAGCAGGGTCCCATGGCACTGCGTGAAGCGGTAGGTGCCCAGCACCCATCCACCCTGCTCCTTTTTCTCCAGACATCTCCTTCCCGCTCTGAGTGTGGGTAACTCAGGTGAGGTGATGCTGTACCATGAGACCTAGGCCTGGCGACCAGACAGGCACGTGACACGCCCAGGCTCAGGACTCCCACGGAAGTATCTTCCTTGTCCACCAGGATTGCTTCATGGGCTGGATGGAAGCCCAGGGCTGATGGAGGCAGCCCCACCACCACTCACACACCTGCCTGAGAATGGAGCTGCCACAGGTCAGCAGTGCCAAGCTGTGCACAGATGACTGACAGCATGTGCTAGGCACCTAGATCCAACCATGCCTGAAGTCTACACCCTGGGCTTTTCAATGAAAAGAGATCCTCAAATTCCCTTCTTTTGAAGCCAGATCACACCAAGTTCACTCGCCTGGATCAAACAGAGTCCTGAACCACTGCTGTGTCCACACACAAACCCGTGTGTTATTATACACGTACGAGCTGCCTTCCCGCTATGCTGTGAGGTTACCTCCCTTTAGCTGCTTCCCATCTGGGTCTGGCAAAAAGTTGGAAACTGTATTTGAATTACATACACACCTGCTAAGTGGTATGCCTTGCGAAGGAAACTAGATTACACCTGGTCAGAGGCTGAGCTGATATCCGTAATTAGCAGGTGCGGACAGCGAGATCTGGCACAGAGTAGGGTCTTGGTTCAGGGCCCAAGTCCCACCCAGCCGGCCCACAGTGAAGCCAGACTCCGGCTTCCCACTCCTACCGCCCGGACTTTCTGTTATTTTACACCCAGAGACACACTCCTGGGCACACTCGTTTCTGCTGGGATTTATGAGGCAGGATGGGGTTCTAACTGTTGAGGGGTGAAGCGGCGGCGGGCTCAACGGCAGCGCCCTCCCGCCAACACTGATTGCCCAGGATACGTTTACGAACCAAGGTCAACGCTGGCTCGTCCTGGAGATACCCGCAAGTGTCCCAACTGACAACAGGCCTTCTCGCGGGAGGCCCAGCCGTGTGCCAACCAAGCCCCCAGCCTGGCGGGTGGACCAGCCGGCCCCGAGCCCCGGGCGCCCCGCAGTAACCGACCTCTGGTTTCGCGCACGGACCCTCTGGGCCGGGACCCCGCAGGCGGCGGGAGCGAACGGAGACGGGCGGTGCCGAGTCTCCCAGGGCCCCGCGGCCCCGCGCCCCCTGCCCTCCGCTGCGGCCGGCTCCGCGGGGCGGACGAGGAGTCCGAGGCCCCGGCGCAGGCGGGCGGGCGCGCTCACCTCTCCCCGTCGCCGCGCGTGGGCCGCCGCCGCGCTCAGGCTCGCCGTGGTCGAGGCCGGAGCAGGGTGCGGAAGAGTGGAGCCCGCTCCGGAGAGAGCCGCACCACGCCGGGACCGGACCGCCGCACCCGCCGCAGCGCCGCCGCCGCCTCCGCCTCAGCTTCCAAGATGGCCGCCCGCGGGGCGGGGCGCGGCCCCGGTTCCACTTCCGGTGCGGAGTTCGCGGGGTTGGCCGCTCTAGGCAGCCTGGCGGACGACGCCTACGTCTCTGTCACCTCCTGCTCCTTGGAGCCGCGCGGTCCCCGCACTCGCGAGGACTGTCGGCGCGTGCGCAGTGGCGGGCAGCTCCGCGGGGCGGGACTCCAGGGGAGACGGTCTGCGCGTGCGCACTAGCGGGCGGCTCCGCGGGGGTCGTTCCCGAGTTCCTGGGCCGGTCTCGCTGTGCGGTTCCCGGTCTCGGGACGCCTCTCGGCCGCCTGCGGGTCCCGGAGCCGGCCCGGGGCCCCGTGTCCGGGCGCGTGGGCGACATGCGCGCCGTCGCCCCAGCACCGCCGGGTGCCCCGCTGGAGCCGGCCCTGCACGGCGCGGGATGCGCAGGTGGGCGCGGGCCTCTCCGCCCCTCGCCCTGACGAGGGGACGCTGGGGCGCCTGAGGGGGCAGAGAGGTGGGGATGGGCCCAGGCCGCCCGGGAGGCAGAGTTGCACTGACTGCGAGGCAGGTGGCGGACGGCAGCCTGGACAAGACCGAGCGCAGGGGGACGAGGTGGCCAGCCACGTGACAACTGATGGCCGAGAGGAGGGGGCGGGTGGGAGCCGTGTTCCGGGCACCTGAGGCAGGTCTGAGAAGCTGCTGCAGGGCTGGCCCTGGGGCAGAACCCAGGAGTGCCCATGTGTCTCTCAGTCCGTCAGGGGGTCCGCCATGGGGATGCAGCCTCACACTGTCACCAGTCCTCACCTACTGCTGCCCTCAGGAAACATGTTAGCCCGGGCTCTGCTGTCCCCACGCAGGTTGGGCAGAGCTGCTTTTAGAGCGTGGAAAGTTACGTAAAGAAGGCCATCTAGGCCGAAGGTACGAGCACACCTGTGCACATTCACAGCCACCACCAGGAGCCGCATCCTGGAACAGGTCAAGGCCCTCCCCTGCCTCACTTTGTCCCTAAGTAAACGTCCCAAAGAGACAGCGCAGGTGCCGAGAGCATCTTGGTAGGAAGACTGCAGAGGGCTCGAGTCAGAGCTCCCCAGCCCCCCAGCCCCCTGCTCACCGAGCACACCTGAGTCACACCCCAAAGGAGAAGGCATCTGAGACAGGTGTGGCCAGCAGGTCCTGCCAAGACACCACAGCCCCACCTACCCACATCTGCAACCTTCTGGTCAGTGGGACACGGGCTCAGTGCTTTGGGCACAGAGCTGATAGCCTTAGCAGTTGGGATGGGGAGCAGGCAACTAGGCTGGCAGCAGGTGGTGGCTGAAACCTTCTCAAACCCCAAGACCATGCCTCCCAGGGCAGGAGCCACTCTTCTGCAGCAGGAAAGCCTGGGGTTAGCCTTTGGGTGGGACTTCCTGCCAGCACTGTAGCACGTGGGTCATGGAGGCTGTTCCCCTACCCTGGCCAGGGCTCCCTCCCCCACGGGAAGGCCGAGGGGGTTACTGCTCCCTACAAGCTGCCCCTTGGCTAGACCAGACCCCAGTGGCCAGACCTGGGGTCCCCAAGGCTGGGCTCTCCCGCTAGCTCACTCCTGTGATGCAGGGAGGCATAGGTTGCTCCGGTTTAGGTTGCGCAGGGTGAGCCTGGGGCCTTCCTCTCCTGCTGCTGTGCAGCTCCTCAGGCAGCACTTTCCCTGACCTCCACTCTCAAGCAAGCTGCTTGGAAGGGGAGGCCAGACGCCAGGCCTGGGCTGAATCTAGGGCCCCTGCCACTGGCCCACAGCGCTCACAGCAGCAGCAGCAGCTGGCCCCTGCCTCGAGCTTGGAGCGGTCCTCGGCCCCATCCTGCACTTGAGGAAGCAGTCTCAGAGAGGTTGAGTAACTCGGAAGACCATGCAGCCAGAGACAGAGCTGTGACTCGCACCTGGGCCGGGGAGGGACCAGGGTCAGCTCTTCCTCAGTGTCACTTCCCTTTCCTGGGACATCACCAGTGGCCGCTGCATCCCTCCAGAGCTGCCAGGCCGGTGACCTCAGCCCTCCCCAGAGCCGCGGCTGTGCCGGCTGGACCCAGGGGCTCCCTTATCCCAGCCCAGATCCTCACCAATGGGCTGAGTGGTCAGGAACCCAGAGCTGGCCGGAGGTGAGATAGGGCCCGAGCCCACCCTCAAACCTGGGACCAGGCTGAGGGTCTGGTCATTCGGGATGGTAGAGTCCCCAGTGGGACAGGGATGGGGACAGCCCTGCCATCTGCATACCATCTAGCCAAGGGTTTCGGCTGGGAGACAGCCGGATTTGGCCCAAGTGTGGTGGATGGATTGAACCCATGCTGTGCATCTAGCATGTAGCATGTGGTCTCCGCATGTGATGTGTCCTCTTAGCGCGCGGTGTGGTAGGTGATGCTCTTGGTATCCAGTGGGGAAGGTGAGCCCTGTGCCCAGCTGGGGCACCAGGTGCCACCTCCACTGCCAGGCCCTAAGTGGTTCTCACAATTAGTGCCCATCCCAGTGGCTGGGCAGCTGGTTCCAAGGGACACCCGGGTGCTGGGAGCAGAGGCCCCCACCCAGTATCCCTGAGCCAAACACCTGTGGTCCTACCTGTGGTGTGAGCCAGGCAGGCACCCCTCCCAGGTCTGGCAGAACAAGAGTGGGCAGGGAAGTGAGAGGCCAGGGCACAGTGGGCTCTGAGTTCCAGGAGCCAGGGAGGACAGAGGGGCATCCAAAGGGGTCTCGGGCCAACACCAGCCTCTCTCCCTGCAGAAACTGCCAGCCAGGACCGGGGCCAGGCCTCACTGCCTCACTGGAGGGTACACCTGATAGGGAGGCCCCACATCTCCAACCCCAGAACTCCCCTCCTGGGTCCTGCTGCTGGCGGGACCGGCCTGGGCCAGGCTAGAGGCAGGGCTAGCACTGGCCACTCCCCCGGCGCAACACACTGAGGGCGCACCATGGCCCTCCCCACGGCTGCCTCTGGAGCTGCTGTCCTGCTCTTCCCTCCTTTCTGTGCTGGAGTTTCTGGAGCTGCCACTCAGACCACGGTCCCAGCTTTGCTGCTGGGCTACTGCCAGGACACGGCTGTCCTAGCCCAGGGCCAGCCCTGCCTTAGGGATGCCTCATATCAAGCCAGAGAACAGCCAGATGGCCACCGACTGCAGGCAAGATGTCCAGCGTCCTGGGGGCCAGCTGGCCTCATCTCCCTGGGGCACCTTGGGGCCTCTGGCAGGAGTCCTAACTCAGCTGAGGAGTTAGGCCAAGTTCCGGCCCCCTGGGATCCTGACACCTGAACCAGCCCTGGTGGGGCCAGTTTCTCTGACTCTTAGACCTATGGCGGGAGGGGCTCCTCTGGCCATCCAAGGGCCCAGGAGGCAGCACACCAGTGCTCTGCTCGGCCACCACCCTGCCTGGTAGTGGCCTCCTAGGTCTCCAGGAGGCCCAGGCCGGGGGCACGTCCCCACCACTCTGGACTCCCGCATGCTTGTGAGTGTGGGCAGAGGTGCTTCCACATGGCCGTCTATGTGTGTGTCTGCAAGCCCATACACCTGGCACACCTGTGTGCAGGTGCGTGTGCACATGCCAGGCAGAGCTGCCTTGGCTGCAGGCAGCCCTGGAAGGTGGCAGGAGGGGCCCAGCCAGCACCTCTGGTGACTCTGGGCTGCTCTGTAATAAAATCGGCGCTTCCATATGGGGGCTACTGCGTGTGCCTACCTTCCCAGTCACCCCTGCCCAGGTGCACTGCAAACCTGACCCCACCTGACACCTCCTTGGAGCAGACCCTAGCAGCCACACTGCCAGGCCAGGACCAGGCCCGCCCCAGCTGCCCTCAACAGCTCGCATCCAGCCCACCGGGGTGCAGTCTAGGCCACTTAAGGGCAGAGGAGCCAAGGGTGTCAGGAGTCAGATTCTGTCAAAGCCCCAGGCCCCCCACCTTGTCTGAGTCTGAGCTGTGTCCTGAGGGACACCGGTGCTGCCCTGCTGAGGGCTGCCCCCAGGGAAGGCAGGGACCCAGACACCCCAGCTGAGACACAGCAGAGTGAGGCGGGGAGCCAGTGGGCAGGCAGTGGGCGCAAGCAGTTTATTAACAGCAAGTGACTGATCAGAGCAGGAGGGCCAACCCCAGCAGGGGTAGGGCTGCCGGGAGGAGGGGCCGAGCTTGAGCAGGGGGAGGAAGGGGTTAATTCCGCTCTTTAGGGGTCACAGCCAGCAGGCAGGGAACTGGGGGCCTCCCGGGGCAGCATTTGCATAGTGGCCAGCTGACTGGCCTTGGCCGGACTGAGGGTCCACAGCTGGGAGGCCCAGCCTCTGTCCCAGGGCTCCTCTGGAAAAGGGAAACATGAAGGCATCGGTGGGCCCCACAAAACAAGCTGAGGGGGGGGCCCTGGACCTGGCAGAGGGCCCAGCCCAAGGGGCAAGGCTGGGAGGGGCAGGAACCTCCCCTGGCGGGCAGAGCTGGAGTCAGGGTGGTCCTCAGAGTCCAAACGAAAGAGTCAGAAGGAGGTCACTGTAGAAAATCCACTCGGGCGGCGACAAAACATCGGTGCCGGTGGAAAGTGGCTTTGTGCACAGGCCCCGGGCTGAGTCCCGGGACAAGGGCCTCTGGAGGTGGCAGGGACCGGCCTGGGGCCACCTGGCACCTAGGCCTGCGTGGCCGGCCACGGGGCCTTGGACGCCTGCGCCCAGCCCAGAGTCCACCTGCCCAGCACCTGCCTGGACGCTGGGGTCCCCACGTGAGGTACTCGGGTTGCTCCCTGGAAGGTGCTGGCAGCCACCAGCCCAGGGCCTAGCACGGGGCTCTCGGGGTGTACGGGAGGGACCCAGCTCGCAGGTCAGTGTCCTGGACGTGAGTGGCGTGAGCCTTGAGAGTGGTTTGTGACATGTTAGAGACCCAGGCCCCCAGGGACAGGGTGACCTGGAGACAGAGGGTCCCCGGGGGGTGGGCGGGTGAGGGCACCAAATGACGCAGCACCTCCAGGGAAACGTGGGGCTCCGGCAGACTCGGTGCCGGGTCTGCTCCCATCCCCAGCCTCCCTCTCCTGGCCCGAGGGTCCAGGCGCTGGAAGGAGTGAAGAGAGGGGACGGGGCTGCCGCAGCGCCAGGCTGCGTCGTCAGGTGGCGCTGCGGCTGGCGAGGGCCAGGGTCTTCCCGCAGCCCGGCCCTAGCTCTCCTCCAGGTGGAGGCTGATGAACTCCTGGATGCACCTGCGGTACTGGAGCTCCGTGGGGCTGCTGCCCGCCAGGGGGCCCGGCTGACCCGGGGGAGCCTCGGCCTCCCGCATCTCCTCAGCCATGCGCGCCAGGCGGAGCCTTGGGAGAGGTGCAGAGTGAGGTGCCCCCGCCTCCGCGACGCCCCCCGCCGCCCTCCCAGCCGCAACAAGGGGCCACCCGCACTCACAGCGTGACGATGTCGGCGTTGGCCGCCTGCACCGCGATGCTCAGCGGGTCCTGCCGCTCCTGGTCCAGGGCATGCTGGTCGGCCCCCCGCTTCAGGAACAGGCAGACCTGGCTGAGAGGTGGAGGGGGCCGTCGGGGCGGGAGGGCGTGGGGTGGGCGGGGCATCGGGGCATGGGGGCGGGGCTGCGCGGACGGGGCAGGGCGCGTGCCTCACCCTGTGCGGCCCAGCAGCGTGGCGTGGTGCAGGGGCGCCCGGCCCCGGCTGTCTCTTTGGTTCACGTCCGCCCCGTTTTGCAGCAGGAACTCGCAGGCGATCAGGGAGCCCTGGGGAGCCGGCGGCTCAGAGGAAACGCCCCCGGCAGGACCCGTGCGCCCCAACCCCCACCCCTCAGTGCCCCAGCTGGGACCGAGCGAGCCAGCGAGCGAGCGGGGTCCCCACAGAGGACAAGGGGCCCTGGGGCGGGGCCGCAAGAGAGCGTGGGAGGATACACCTTCCAGCGTGCACTGTGTTCCGCGCAGCCCCTGCCACGCTCACCCCTAGCACGGCCTGCACCAGCGGCGTCTTGCCCTCGTCCTCCGCGTCGACCCAGTTGACCTCGGCCCCATGGGCCAGCGCCGCGACCAGCGCGGGGAGGTCTCCGGTGCGCGCCGCACGGTGCGCCAGTAGCCCGGGGTGCAGCTCGCGCACGTCCGCCAGGCCCCAGGCCTCAGCTTCGGTGTCCACGTCCACCTCGCCGCTGGACTCCTCAGACTCAGCGCCCTCTGCGGGGAGCGGGGAGGTCAGGGGCGGTGGCCGCGGGGGTGGGGCGGACGCTCTGGAGCTGGGGAGGTCCCACCTACCCTCCTCCCTGACGCTGTCCACCACGGATCCTGCGCCGAAGGCCAGGACGTCCGAGCTGCCGTCGGAGCTGCCGCCTAGGCCACTGTCGCTGCTCAGACCTGCGCCCAGTGAAGTGTGTCCTGAGCATGGGGGTCTGACTCCTCCCAGGACCCCACCACCCTGCAGGAGACACCCCTAGGGACAGGATCAGCCCCTGCAGAGGAACAGAAGGGAGCCCAGCCCCCCGGGCTACGTGGAAAGGAGAGAAACTAGTAACCGCTCTGAAGAGCCAAGGGCAACCGCCCACCAGCCCAGCCCCCCCGTGGAAGGCCACCCCGGGGCAGCAGGACAGGTGGGCCCCCACATGGCCGAGCACTCCCAGTGAGCCTTCAGCCCCGTCTGTGGCCAGTGCAGGCTCTCGCCAGGCTCTGGAGATGCCAGCCCAGGCAGGAGCTCTCTGCCCAACTCAGCTGGGACAGCAGTTGCCAGTGAGAGCCAGTGCCGTGGTGCCCTCTGCTGCCCATGGCCACGCCAGCACGCACGTGCACACGTGTATGCACACAGCCCACACACGTGCACTCACGCCTTTGCACACATCACTCGTGACAGTCAGGCCTCAGTCTCCAGATCGGCGGCCAAGACACCCCAGCCCCTGGCCTGGCGCCTGCTCAGCGCCCTGGTCCGGCTGGGGGTGGGCAGCGGGGAAGGGGCCCTCCCAACTCTTACTTCGCGGCCCAGCCCCGGCAGCCCCTGCGTCGAAGTAGGAGAAGAGAGAGTCCAGCTCGTCCGGGCAGAAGAGGGAGTCGCGGCGGAACCTGCGCTCCAGGGTGCCTGCTGGGGGGCGGGCCGCACGTTCAGATGGGGCGGGG